TTTAATAAATTGGCCCAAGTCCGGAAAGGCAGGGCCCTTTTTCTTCTTTTCCTTTTTTTTTCTTTTTCTTTTATTATTATAAAAATAAAAAAAATACAAAACTAAATAAAATCAAATTAAAATAAACACCCAATACAATTATTCACACACACGTTAAAATAATTCAAGACAAGTAAAATTAAACAAAACAAAATCACGGACAAAGATGCATGTTTATGCTTTTCTATTTAAACCATGTTACGGTTCAGATTATGCATGATACGTACAAATTTTTTGAATTTTGTTTTAATAAAGTAAATAAATAAAATGGGCCAAAGTCACAAATAAATCAACAAAGTGCCGCACAGAAATTCAAAATTGTACAGCAGGGCCAATTATTATTTCTTATTTCTTTTTGGAGCGATTGTCGTGCGAAAAACAAAAATCACGTGCTCACATGCACAGATTAAAGTCATTGAGGAAATCCCTAACATACTTTCAAACAAGAAAGAAGTTCAAAGATTAACAGGGAGAATTGCGGCCTTGGGAAGATTCATCTCTAAATCATCAGAGAAGTGTTTTAAATTCTTCTCAACCCTTAAGAAGCAGGATCATTTTGAATGGAATGAGGAATGTCAACAAGCACTTAGGAATTTGAAAACGTACTTATCAAATCCACCTTTGTTGGCAAAACCAAAGGCTGGGGAAAAGCTACTCCTCTACCTTGTTGTTTCGGAGGTGGCGTTAAGTACTATTTTGGTCGGAGAAGAGTAAGGTAAACAATCACCTATCTATTACGTAAGTAAATCTCTGTTAGATGCAGAGACGAGGTATCCTCAGTTAGAAAAACTTGCACTTTCGTTAATCATGGCATCTAGAAAGCTAAGACCTTACTTTCAGTGTCATCCTATCGTTGTGGTAACTACCCACCCTTTACGTAACATATTACATAAGCATGAGTTATCAGGTAGGTTAGCTAAGTGGGCAATAGAGTTAAGTGAATACGAAATTGCATACCAACCTAGAACTGCTATAAAATCACAAGTATTAGCTGATTTCGTGGTTGATTTTAGTCAGGGAATACAGTTAGAAGCAGAAAANCCCGGTGTCACGAATCTGAGCCTCTAGAATACAGAATATCATCCTAATACATGGTATATCCAAAGTTTGATAATACGGAAATAAAGAGATAGGATAGGATGGAGAAGATCAATGGCTGCAAACGCTGTGCAACTACCTCGATACTCCAAGAGGCTGGATCTGCTGATCAATTGGATCTACTGAGCCTGAGACTGCCCTGGATCTGCACACAAGGTGCATGGAGTNTTATTGGTACCACCTACGGGTAAAACCATTCGGCAAGCTATTAAATGTCATACCATAACTAACAATGAGGTAGAATATGAGGCTATGATTGCAGGTTTAGAACTGGCACGAGAATTTGGCATAAATCAGATTATAATCAAGAGTGATTCACAACTCGTAGTTAATCAAATACTGGGGACTTATACAGCCAGGGAAGCAAGGATGCAGCAGTACTTGGAAGAGGTACGGGAATTGATAAAACAATTTCAAGATTGGAAAATTAGACAAATACCCAGGGACGAAAATCTTGAAGCAGACGCCCTAGCAAATCTCGCATCTGCGGCCGACGTGGCAAACGATGCAAATGCCTCAGTGATACATTTATTTCATTCAGTTCTTGATCCTGATGCGAATGAGGTAAATTTTAATAACTTAACCTGGGATTGGAGGAACGAAATTGTTGCTTTTTTGCAGTATAGAATCGTCCCTGATGACAAGAAAAAGGCTTATGCGCTTTGTAGGTAGGCCGCTCGGTACTGCTTAAAACAAGGAAATCTATATCGTAAAATGTTCGGTGGACCCTTAGCAAGATGCCTTGGACCTTCGCAAACAGAGTATGTAATGAGAGAAATACACGAGGGTCATTGCGGGAATCACGCAGGTGGAAGATCACTAGTAAGAACCTTAATTAGGGCAGGTTATTACTGGCCTAAAATGGAAGAGGAGGCAGAAAGTTTCGTGGCCAAATGTGATAAATGCCAGAGGTACGGTAACAATATGCATAGACCTGCGGAATTATTACATCCGGTCATTGCGCCATGGCCATTTATGAAATGGGGAATGGATATCGTAGGTCCATTATCGCAAGCAAAAGAACGGGTAAAATTTTTGCTTGTTCTCACTGATTATTTTACTAAATGGGTAGAGGAAGGTGCATTCAAACAGGTGCAAGAAAAGGAAGTCAGAGACTTTATTTGGCGGAATATCATATGCCGATTCGGCGTACCAAAGGAGATTGTATGTGATAATGGTCCTTAGTTTATTGGAGCACAGATCGCGGAATTTTTTCAAAGCTGGCAAATTAAAAGGAATACGTCAACACCCTATCATCCGGTGGGTAATGGACAGGCAGAATCAACGAACAAAGTCATTATCAACAATTTAAAGAAACGACTAGAGGAATCAAAAGGAAACTGGCATGAAGTGTTACCTGGAGTTTTATGGGCATATCGCACAACTGCAAAAATAAGTACAGGAGAAACACCGTTCTCATTGGTTTATGGAGCTGAGGATTTAATTCCAGTTGAGATAGGGGAACCAAGTACACGGTTCACATAGGCGATACAAGAATCTAATGACGAGGAGATGCGGGTCAACCTAAATTTACTCGAGGGGCAGAGAGAAGCTGCTTTAATAAGAATGGCAGCACAAAGGCAAGTCATAGAACGATACTACACTAGAAAAGCACGCCTCAGGTTCTTCAAAATTGGAAACATCCCCCACAACTCCCATGGTTGCTAATAAAAAAGGGGGGAGGTAAAATTAGAAAAGCTGATAAACTTGAAAGAAGAAGATACGAGAGGGATAAAAGACCTACGTGCAAAATTCCACTTCTCAGGGAAGGGAACATTATCTTCACCCACTAAACCAACAGTGGGGGAAACAACAAATCGGGCATACCAGCCACGATCCTTGTCATCTTCAGGGCTCACCAAAACCCTCTTACTCCTGGCTACTAGTGTAAAAACACCATTACGAAAAAGTCTAGATGAGTAAAGATGAATCAAGTGAGGGAAAGTAAAAGGAGCTTCAGCTTTAGTGGCTAAATGACTTAAACAGGCAACAACCCTCCATATGATTGGGCCAATTTGACCCAAGCAGACATTGAAAAAACGGCAAAATTCAAGAATGATTGGGTCGATTGCTAGTCTAAACCCTAAAGTAAAAGGGTAAGTGTAAACAAAAGAGAACCCAGTTAAATAAGAAGTAATTCTCTGATTCAGATTAGGGATAATAATGGGATAATCATTACTCCAATGACAGTCCTTACGAACCACAGAAGTCAAAACCTTTGTAATTTGAGTAGGGTAAGCATTGACACGATCTAATGTGGAACCATGGTTTCTAAGATATTCCATGTCATGGTAAAAAGACAATTCTGAAGGGACTATATCATCTTCTAAAGGTTCGCGAAAAGGTTCAGAATGATCTTTACCCCTAGAAGAAGATTTGTGAGAAAGGGAACCTCTGGTTCTAGAGGAAGGACCAGAACCAGAAGAAGGCATAGACGAACCACCTCGAGTAGATCCTAAACTACGAAGTCTACCTCCCCTTCTGCGCCTAACAGGGGCATTGGGGAAGGAGTCAGTAATGGAAACTCTCTCAGGGTTAGGGCTTGGAGAAGACATATCGAAGAGGAATGATTTAAGGAAGAAGTAAATAGAGATTTGGAGAAATAAGTGTTCAATAAGCTTTATGTGATAAAAGACAAGGGAAAAAAATTATATTTATACCGATAAGCAACCGCCAAAGGTAAAAGTGCGGAGGTGGAAAGACCATAATTATGATAACTGGCACTTCATTAATAATGGAACCGTAAAAACCTTGAAAAAGGTTGCAAAAACTGTAGAGCCAATGGAAAATTGATACGCGTACGAAATATTAAATGGAAGTGACAATTGAAGTGTCAATTTTGTCATAGCATTAATGGTGACAAAAATTCTCGTTTTAATGAAATCCACTTCCCAAATATTCAATTGATGAATAAATGGAAAGTGAGGGGACTATCTGTATTGGGAAAAATTGCATTTATATATGCACGTGACATGTTGAGACACGTGGACTAATCAAATAGTCAAAGAATTATAATTAGTCAAGAGGCACAGGCAGCAGTAGAACGAGCAAAGGCAAAGGAAGAGGCACGGGAGGACATTTGAAGGATTCAGCGCCCGTACCTATTTAAATCATTTATCAAAAGGAATGGATCTGACCATAATAAAGAGCGCAGATACGAAATTCGACAGGCATTAAATACTGGATACGTTAGAGAATTTGTATTGATTACAATGATTGTGTAACGTAGCATTCAATGTCTTTAATTATTCATAATAGCCTCGTTATGATTTGGAGGAAATGCATATCTTCAAGATACCTATAAAAGGGAGGTATTTGGTCACTTGTAAACACAAGACACAATCGGAATATACTTTGATTCACTTGTTTTTCTCCTGATTACACTCTGGTTACTCTAAATTACTTTCTTCTACATATTCTTTTGATTATCAGTAACCCGCGTTCTTCTAAATTCTAACTTTGACTGAAATTCTATTTTTTGGTTAAACAAACAGGTTTGGACACATAAGTGTTAGGTGTATGTATACATAATTTTGATGGAATCTGATTCCTGAAATGCTATAGAAAAATATTAACTATCGATGTTTTACACTTCAATACCACACCGGAGTTAGATTTGTGTGGCGCCCAATTTTCGTAATGCACTGGTATATTGAAGGACCTGGTTCTTCGATGCGTTCTTTATAAATACCTTAATGTTTTATAAGGAATCTTGCACGGATAGTCAAAATTGGGGTATCCTTTATAGAAAGTAAAATGGCAGGCTCAAACAATGGCAATACTCAGCTAGATGATAGTTCAGAATATGATAGGAAAAGTGAAGTTCAAGCCTTTGATGATTCAAAGGTTGGTGTAAAGGGACTTCTGGATGCTTGTCACAAAGTTACCGCGTATATTCTTGCACAACCAGCCTGTAATTGAAAACAAATCGGATTCCGATGCAGCTACTAAGTTTAGCCTTCCAGTCATAGATTTAGGAGGCTCGGGCAAAAGTGCAGCTCAACGAGCTGATATTGTCCGAGAAATAAAGGATGCTTGTGAAAACTGGGGATTTTTCCAAATTGTCAACCATGAAATCCCATCAAGTGTTATGGAGAAATTACTAGAAGGCGTTCACCATTTTCATGAGCAGGATCCTGAGGTGAAGAAAGACTTCTACTCTCGTGATGTCACGAGGAAGTTCACCTATAATACAAATTTTGATCTACACAAAGCCTAAACAGCTAATTGGAGAGACACCTTTTACTGTGTCATGGCTCCTAATCCTCCTCGCCCCGAAGAAATTCCAGAGATTTGCAGGTACATATCATGCTTACTACTAGTATACCTTTCTTTGCTTAGGCAACTTTAGCTCATACTAATTATGAAATGCTTCAGTATTGGCATGCTTATGTCGCAATGTTTTGACGTTACAGAGATGTTTTGATCAAATACACGGATTATGTGATGAAACTGGGGATTACTCTATATGAGCTACTCTCTGAAGCTCTAGGACTCAACCCGAATCACTTGAAAGACATAAAATGTGCGGAGGGGCTACTCGTAGTTGGCCATTATTATCCAGCATGTCCTGAACCAGATTTCACTTTAGGCCTTAGCGGTCACACAGATAGCGGCTTCTTGACTATTGTATTACAGGATCAAATTGGCGGACTCCAAGTTTTTCACAAAAATCAATGGGTTGATGTTGCTTTCATGCCTGGAGCTCTAATTGTGAACATTGGAGACTTAATGCAGGCAAGTTCACATTGGTCAAAAAATTCTTTTAATATAAATGTCACAAACTTGATCAATTAATTCACTAGTTTCTGTTTTGTTTTGTAGCTGATCACAAACGATAAGTTCAGAAGCGTTCTTCACAGAGTGCTAGCGAAAAATATAGGACCAAGAATTTCAGTGGCGAGTCTTTTCAGAATGCATTTTCAAGAAGGAAGTGAATCGAGATTATATGGCCCAATCAAGGAGTTGTTATCAGACGAAAATCCTCCAATGTACCGAGAAACAAGCAGAAACGAGTATGTCACTTATTTATACAACAAAGGGCTAGATGGAGCTTCTTTATTGTCACATTTCAAATTACAAAAAGAGTGACGGGATCTGCAGAATTGTTCATCATCTTAACAGTGTTTCACTGCTTCGCTATGGTTTTCTGCTCGTGTGTTCAATTAAGTATTCTTATACCAGTTGTACATGTATCTTTTAACAATTAAATAAGTACCTCAAGTACTGTTTATCTAAAGAAATTGAGAACAGTGGTTTCTTGAACACAAAATAGGTGTTATAAAACCATGTTATGTATTCTTGAGTATACATTGAAATTGTTTTAGCTTTTTCTTGAGTTGTCTAAAGATCACATGATGTGCTCTTCACTTTAGCTCTTTTAAAAAGTCTTTATCAAAGGAGATGGTAGTCTCTATCACTCAATTTTTTAAGGGTAGCCTTGAAGTAACAGTAAAATTATCTCCATATGATCTATAAGCCATGAGTTCAAGCCGTAGAATCTCTTGGGGTGTGGTCCTTCCTCGGATTCTGCGTGAACGCGAGATGCTTCATACACCGAGCTGTTCTTCTTTTTTTTTAAATTCAGAAAAGTTATGACAAAATGAGTAAGATAAAAGCCATAGACTTGGTCAAAATTCCTGATCTTTTATTCAAGATTCAAGAGGTCTTTTGTTCTTCCCAAGTTACTAAGCTCTTGATTTAACTTCAACACGGTGCTTTTGATTAACTTTTAATTATTTAGCAGTAATTTTTTTAGGAAAAATTTCACAAACCTCCCCTGAGGTTTTTGTTGGTATACATGTCTACCCAGTGGTTTCAAATATTACACAAACCTACATTTTCTTATATTTTACTGTGACGAAACTATTTGTAACCTAAAATATTACACAAACCTACATTTTCTTACAATTTCTTTTTGCTTCTATATATGTGTAGCAAAACTAGCTTATGTTATTTTATTTTTTATTTTTTTGGAAAATGACACTGTAGTCACTCTTAAAATATTAGCAAAAAATATACTACATATTTTTGGTTTATTTTTTGTATATATAAATTGTTGTATGTTATATACAAAAAATACAAATTTTATATATTTTGCGGCAATGATCTTTGCCCTACTTTTTTCTCGTTAGATGAATGCATTTAATCGGTTCATTCCCCAACTTGTTTTACGGAATTCTAGGTCAAAAGCTGTACTCGAGATCTGCACTGTCTTAGCACCAAACTAATTAAAATAATGTCTTCCTTTTGAATATTGATTCACAATGGACCATTTCATTTATGAGCACTAGTTTGACTTTAACTAACTTAGTTGCTCAAGAAACTTAACCTTCTTGAAACTAAGAACAAATATGTCTTCCACTGAAGATTCACAAGCTGAACTGACAATGGATTATGATCGATTGAAGGAAATAAACGATTTCGATGATACAAAAGCTGGTGTTAAAGGACTAGTTGATTCTGGAATTGTGAACATACCAAGAATTTTCATTAGGCCACCTGATGAACTTGTTGAAGAGTTGAATCAGTGCAAGTCAACTCTAAAGATTCCTGTGGTGGATCTAAGTGGCGTAGAAGTTGAAGATCAACGTAAGAAAATTGTCGATGAAATAAGGGAAGCATCAGAAAAGTGGGGATTTTTCCAACAGATAAATCATGGGGTTCCTTCTTGTGTTTTGGAAGGAATGATTCTTGGGATTCGTAAATTTCATGAACAAGATGTTGAGTTAAAGAAAGAGTACTATACGCGTAATCATACGAGAAGAATTAGACACACAACATTGGAGAGCAGCCCGGTGCACTAAGTTCACGCTATGCGTTGGGTCCCGGGAAGGGTTAGACTACAAAGGTCTATTATACACAGTCTTACCCTGTATTTCTGCAAGAGGCTGTTTCCACATCTCGAACTCATGACCTCCTGGTCACATGACAACAACATTACTAGTTACGCCAAGTTTCCCCTCGATTGACACACAACATTGTGGTCTCTTTTATCTTAGATTAAGCAAAATTGTCTCACTTATTTCAATCTGATTTTGTAACAGATGTTATCAAATGACATGTTTGTAAGTGTGAATCATAGAGTTATAGCGAATAAGGTAGGACCGAGGATGTCAGTGGCGTGCTTCTTCACCGGTGTTTCTGCAACTCCAAAGATCTATGTGTAGGTTCGCATATATGTGTTCATAACACGCAATGGAAGACAATAACAATTCTAGGCAGAACTTTTCGTGTTTAAAATTTATTTGCATGTCAAAGATCGGATCTAAGACGTACCTGGTGAATAGAGTCTTGTTTCAAAAAATTTCTTCGATTGTGCGAAGACTCTATGCGTATCCACACCGAGACCGATCTTTGCTAAACTCTTTGATCAATGAAACCCCTCAACAAAATTGAACAAAATATTGTGTTGAAATTTTTCTAAAAAATCTCAATTTAATGTTACACGACAAGAACTGTTATTGTCAAGAATGTTTGTCTCTTGATTTTTATGTCTTCTCAAACCTGTTATTTTTACTTAAAAAATGGAAGCTAAAAAAGGGAAGAATAAAGAGTTTTTGCTACTGCAAATGAATGTCATCCGATTCTAAATCAAGAGTAAGTCTTTTAATATAAAAATTGAATCCATTGAAAAGTATATCTCATCTAAGTGGGATGATTATGACAAACTTCCTTTATTAACTTTATAAAAGTTTTCCATTGAAAAATATATCTCATTCTAAGTGGGATGATTATGACAAACTTCCTTTATTAACTTTATAAAAGTTTTTCATCGAAAAATATATAACATTCTAAAGGGATGAATCTTCCAAGATCTTGAGGAGTTTGAATTGAAATTCTGTCGTAGGAGATCAAGTGTTCTTCATTAATATTATATATATACACCTTATATAAACAAATATTAATTATATATATATATATTTCAACCGAGAGATACAATTTAATTTTCTGTCCAAATAAAAACTTCAATTTATTCACAATATTAATTATATCCTCTGTGCTAGCAAAGAATATAATAATATTTCATTTGGACTAATAACTAAATTTATTTGACTAATTAAATTCCTTAATTTAATTATCAAATAATAAAGTAATTAATCCTTTAGCAATGATCAGAACACTCATTAGTGTGCGACCCCATAGGTTCAATACTAAGCCGGTAGTAAATTGATCACATCAATATACTAATCAAGGGTGGCGTCTAGCAACACTCCTTAACGACCGGATAGAATGAAGTATACAATTTACTCTCAAGAACCAGTAGAAGAATAATGTAGTAATTCCTTCTATCCTTATAGCTCTGGATCACCCTNTATCGCCCTAGGGCCATATGTGTTTAGTATCAAAGCACAATAAATAATTTGTTAATTACTATGACGATCTCATGTCAAAGGAAACTCTTACATTGCATTCTTCAAGAGAATATCCTATTGACAGTTTATGGTAATTCTAACCATTAGGAATTATCCAATGAGTCGATTCAATGATCATATCTCTATATGCATCATCTATCTATGTGATTCAGTTAATGAGATCAACCAATCTTTATCCTATAAAGACGATCACATAGATATTGATCTAACCGGATTATTAATGTCCAAATTAATAATCCTATGATCAAGAACTAAATTTATATTTAATTATAAGAAACTTTACTCTCATTATTATGATCTCAATCACGATGACAAGTCTCAAAATTTAATCAAGGACCTTATCAAAATAATCAAGCANAGGACATATCTAATATATCCCTAACACTATAGTCCAATCAAAGAGCTCGTATCAGAAGAAAATCCCCCTCTTTATAAAGAATTTAGTAAGTGATTACATGGCTAAGTTTATGTCCAGGCCACTTGGTAAGTCTACTCAACCTTTTCAGACTGTAATAAAGAGAGACTAAGCGCTAGTTTGCGAAGCAGCATTATTCAGAAAAAATATGATTATTTTTACAAGGTAGTTTCGACATTGTGATTTGCTCTACAATAATGTTTTATCTTTGACTGCTGGATTAGCTAAGAGCAATGTTGCTTTTTCCTGTTTTTATCTTCAAATGAATTGGATCAATGTCAAGAACACAATCTTAATACCTTATGTATTGTTAATTTTCATTATGTATCATTCATTTTGTCCACCCCTTGTCAAAAGCACAACTTTTTGTTCTGATTGATCTTAATTTTTTACAAATAACTCCAACATATAATATATATATATATATCATGAATAGAAGGGTCGCCTAGGCAGTATATCTTCCTTTGGGTTTGTGCGAAGAAGGTCGCCTGGGCAGTGTATAAGTTTAAAAAAGTTAGTTTGGCTCATTTCATCTCATCTCCTTCATGGGAGCCGACCTATGAGCGATTTTGGAGCTCCATTTTTATCATTCATGTCAAGGTAATAAGTGATTCCCACATATTGCAAGTTAAATACTTGGATTTTATATAAAATTAGTGAAAACTTGGGGTTTTGGTAAAAAAAACTAGAAATTGGTATTTTTGGATTTTGACCACGAATTTGAGCATGAAATTTTGTGATGAACCAAAATGTCTTCTTTAAATTAATAATCATCTCGGTATTTTAAGACCTTGAAAAGCGGTATCAATAATTCTACTTGCGTGCGCAGTCCGTATAATTTTCCGGAAGGTTTTTATGTGAAAAATGAATTAAATTGTGAATTAGAGCTTTAAAACTCAACTGAGTTGACTTCGGTCAATATTTTGAGCAAACGAACCCGAATCCTAGTTTTGACCATTCCGGTAGATCTGTATCGTGATTTGGGACTTGGTCATATGCCCGAAATCGAATTCAGAGTTCCCTAGATCAAATTATCGCCATTTAACAGAATCTAGAAATCTAAAGCTAAAGATTTCATAAGTTTGACCGGAGATTTGACTTTTGATAAAAAGACCTCGGAATAGAATTTTGATGATTCCAATAGTTTTGTATGATGATTTTGGACTTAGGAGCATGTTCGGATTTAGATTTGGAAGTCCGTTGGACAATTCGGCGCATTTTGGCGAAAGTTGAAAAATAGAAGATTTTTGGAAAGTTTGACCGAGAGTTGACTTTTTGATATCGGGTTTGGAATCCAGTTCTGAAAATTTTCATAGCTTTGTTATGTCATTTATGACTTGTGTGCAAAATTTGAAGTCAATCGGATTTGATTTGATAGGTTTTTGCATCGAATATAGAAGTTGGATGTTCTTAGTTTCATTAGGCTTAAATTGGGGTGTGATTCGCGATTTTAGCGTTATTTGATGTGATTTGAGGTTTCGACTAAGTTCGTTTGATGTTTTAGGACTGGTTGATACATTTTGTTGAGGTCCCGAGGGCCTCGGGTGGATTCGGAAGGTTAACAGATAGAAAAGCTGTTGAAATTCTCTTTGGGCAGCTGCTGCATTTTTTTTCACAGCAGCATGAACAGTAGCCGTGTACAGTAGCGTGAACATTAATACTGAACAGTATTCGTGTACAGTAGCGTGAACGGTAACATGTGTGAATAGTACCGTAAAAATTCTGGACAGTTTTAAGTCCAGCAGTGAACAGTTCGGGTTTTTGCCATTTTTTTTTTGACTTCCAAGCTTGGATTTTGGGCAATTTTGAGCGAGAAATCACGAGAATTCTTGAGGTAAGTCCCTTGTGATCATTATTAGTCAATATTATTGAATTATCATTGAATATTAGTCATATATTTACTCTATTTCATATTTATTCACGTCTTTACTGTATTTGATATTATTGGACCACTAGTAAGTGTCGAAGTCGACCTCTCGTCACTACTTCTTTGAGATTAGACTGAATACTTACTAGGTACGCGTTATTTTCGTACTCATACTACACTTGCTGTGCATTTTTGCTGCACAAACACATGTATGTCTAGTGGCCTAGTGGGTGCAGCGGCATGGTTGATACAGAGACTTAGATGAGTTGCATCTCTCGAGACGACCCGCAGCCAGAAGAGTCTCCTTTAGAGTATTGTATTCTCTTTTCTGTCAAAATTTGTATTCCGAACAGTTATTGTACTTCATTTTATTCTTTAATTATTGCTTATACACTTGTGACACCGGGTTCTGGAGTGATTATGGGATATTCAGTGTTGAAATTGGAAAATATTATTAGTTATTTTATAAAGTTCATCTGTTACTAGTGAAATTGAAGAAAACTTTATGATTTCAAAAATATAAAAAGATAATTTAATTAACTAATTAGTGTTGGCTAGCCCGACAGCGGTGTCCGGTGCCATCACGACCCTTAATGGATTTTGGGTCGTGACATCGTGAGCTTATGAATTGAACTCCAAGTTTTGATTCAAGCTTATAATTATGCTTCTGAGGCGGCACAAATTCTTGTGAGCCAAAAATTAAGTAAACTCTCATACACCTTTTGACTCTCGATCGAGGAGTGTCACTTGCCTAGACGACCTTGAAAAATTCAAAATATAAGGCTCATCTACCTCTTCCCTTGACTCCTTTTTATGCTCATAATGATCAATTCTCATTTCACCACCTGAACATAATGTAAAGAACTATTTGGAATGAGGTCCGACTCACTCAAATACCTGAACTTCAAAAATTTGACTTCCTCAACACCTATCACACTAGAGTCAACTATATTTGTATCTTCAATGTCCTTGGCTGACAACATCGGCATCCTCAAATTCTAGTTGGATAGATTGTTGGTGTTCTACTCTGACCTTCTTCATTAGCACCTCAATTTCAGTATCTACTTCATGTTCTTCTTGGCTATTATCCCTAATATTGGCTTTTTGAGCATTAAATGCTTCAACCAATTGACTTACTTGTGCCTCCAGGTTGCGAATAATAGCATTTTGCCTTTGTATGTGCAGTTATTTCTCATTATTTTGTTCCACAAGGCACCGTAGCATATCCTTGATCTCTTTCAAGTCATCATTCCTAGGTTCTTTATTCCTATTCACTTCATAAGAAAAAGTAAAACCATCATAGTAAAGGGTTGGGGAGGATAATAAATATAAGCACAACCATGGAATTGATCATCTTGACCACCACACATTTTACACACATTCCACACATAAGATTGAGTTGGGGCACATAACTCGCTCTCAAGAATATTTTGATAATTTTTCCATGGGTGATTTCCTCCACAATATGCATAAGGAGGATCAAAAGTAGAATTACCAACATCAAAACTCTCA